TAAGGACAGTTTGTTCAATAAACAGTGCTGGGAAAATTGCCCTGATACATACAAAAAAATGACACTACACTACCTTCTTACACCAAATACAAAAATAAACTCAAAATGAATTAAAGACTTAAATGTTAGACTCAAGACTATTAAAAAGTAGAAGAAAACATTGGCAGTAAAGTCTTGGGTATTCCTTGTAGTAATATTTTTTCAGATGCATTTCTTTGGGCAAGGGGAACAAAAGAAAAAATAAACAAATGGGACTACATCAAACTAAAAAGGTTTTGTACAGCAAAGGAAACCATCAACAAAAGGAAAAGACAACGCAATGAATGGGAGAACATATTTGCCAATGATTCATCTGAGAAGAGGTTGGTTTCCAAAATATATAAAGAACTTATACAACTCAACACCAAAAAAAAAAAAATCCAATTTAAAATATGGGCAAAGGACCTGAATAGACGCTTCTCCAAAAAGAACATGAAGATGGGCCATACACAAACAGATCGAAACATGGCTCAAGAACAACTCAGAGCCCCAGAGCCCATAAATCTAAGCGATGAAGAAATAGCCAAACTTTCAGATGCACAGTTCAAAACACTGGCCATCAGGATGCTTACAGAACTGGTTGATTTTAGTCACAAATTAGAGGAACATATGAAGGCTAAACTAATTGAAATGAATGGAAATGCACAGGAAACCAATAGTAATGGAAAGGAAACTGGGACTCAAATCAATGGAGTGGACCAGAAGAAAGCAAATAATGGCCAAACAGAAAAGAGTGAAGAAGCAAGAATTCAAAAAAATGAGGAGAGTCTTAGGATACTCCAGGACATCTTTAAACGCTCCAACATCCGAATTATAGGGGTACCAGAAGGGGAAAGGAACAGCCACCAGTGGAAAACTTATTTGAACAAATAATAAACAAGAACTTCCCCAATCTGGCAAAGGAAATAGACTTCCAGGAAATCCAGGAAGCTCAGAGAGTCCCAAAGAAGTTGGACCCAAGAAGGAACACACCAAGGCACATCCTAATTACATTAGCCAGGATTAAAATGAAGGAAAGAATCCTAGAGGCAGCAAGAGATAAGGGGACAGTCACCTACAAAGGACTTCCCATCAGACTGTCAGCAGAGTTCTCAAAACAGACCCTCCAGGCAAGAAGGGGCTGGAAAGAAGTATTCCAAGTCATGAAATCTAAAGACCTACATCCAAGATTGATCTATCCAGCAAAGCTTTCATTTAGAATGGAAGGACAGATAAAGTGCTTCTCGGATAAGATCAAATTCAAGGAGTTCCTCATCACCAAGCCCTTATTATATGAAATGTTAAAGGGACTTATCTAAGCAAAAGAAGATAAAAAAGATGAACAGTGAAAGGACAGCAAACTCACAGTTATTACAAACCACACCTAAAACAAAAGCAAACTAAGAGGACAGCTAGATCAGGAGCAGAACCATAGAAATAAAGATCACATGGTGGGTTAGCAACAGAGGAGTGGGAGAAGGAGAAGGGGGAAGAAGGTACTGAGAATAAGTAGCATAGATGGTAGGTAGAAAATAGGTAGGGGGAGGGCAAGAATAGTAGGGGAAATATAGAATCTAAAGAACTTGAGACACGTAGTCATAAACTAAAGTGGGGGAGTGGTGGGGGGAGGGGTGTGTAGGGTGGAGGGGAATGAAGGGGGGAAATAGAACAACTGTAATGGCATAATCAATAAAATATATTTAAAAAAATAAAAAATAATAAAGATGGGCCATAGACATATGGAAAGATGCTTTGCATTACTAGCCATCAGAGAAATGCAAATTAAAACCACAATGAGATATCACTTCACACCAGTCAGAATGGCTATCATCAATAAGTCAACAAACAGTAAGTGTTAGGGAGGATGTGGAAAAAAGGAACCCTCCCACACTGTTGGTGGGAATGCAGATTGGTGAGACCACTGCAGAAAACAGTATGGAGTTTCCTCAAAAAATTAAAAATGAAACTGTGTTACGACCTAGTGATGGCACTTCTGGAATGTATCGGAAGAAACCTGAAACACGAACTTGAAACAATATGTTCTCCTCTATGTCCACTGCAGTGTCATTTATATATAATTATATACAATTTTATACAATAACCAAGATTTGGAAGTAGCCCTAGTGCCCATCAGTAGATGAGTAGATTTTTAAAAGTTGTGGTACATTTACACAATGGCATTCTACTGGGCCATAAAAAAAAAAAAGAGGAAATCTTACCTTTTGTGATCAGCATTGATGGACCTGGAGACTATTATGCTAAGTGAAATAAGCCAGTCTGAGAAAGACAAATATTGTATAATTTGACTTGTATGTGGAATATAATGAACAAAATAAACAAGCAAAATAGAAACAGACTCATGGATAAAGAAAACAGACTGATAGCTGTCAGAGGGGAGGGCGGTTGGGAGGCTGGGTGAACAAGGTAAAGGAATTAAGTTAAAAAAAACCCTCATAGACACAGGCAATAATATGGTGATTACAAGAGGGAGAAGGGGATGGTGGGAGGTGGAAGGTAAAGGGGGAATAAATGAGGATGGAAGGAGACTTGACTTTGGGTAGCAAAGCATATCATTTATACATTACAATGTACAAATGATGTATTACAGAATTGTACATGTGAAACCTATATAATATTATTAGCCACTGTCACCTCAATAGATTCAATAAAAATTTTTTTAGAAACTTAGGTTTCATTTTTAAGAACAGTGACGGTCTGTGATATTTTAGCCTGGGGCAGCTCTCCAATTATTTCAAATAATTTGATTGTTGACTCTTGGATTTTCTACGTGGACAATCTCATCATCTGCAAATAATAATAGTTTTATTTAGTCCTTTCCAATATTTATGCCCTTTTTTTTTGTCTTATTCTACTTACTAGCTAATAACTCCAGTGCACCTGGCTGGTATAGCACAGTGGATTGAGCGCGGGCCTGCAAACGAAAAGATCATGGCTCCATTCCCAGTCAGGGCACATGCCTGGGTTGCAGGCCAGTTCATGAGAGGCAACCATACATTAATATTTCCCTCCCTCTCTCCTTCCCTTCACCTCTAAAGATAAATAAATTTTTTTTAATCTTTAAAAGAAAAGGAACTCCAGTGCTTAATAATGGTTTTGACAATAAGCATCCTTGTTTTAAAGGAAACACTATTAATATAGTCTCATATAGAAAGGTTATTTTTGTTACTGGTTTTTTTTCAGGTTTAAGGTATTTATTCCTGCCCCTGTTCATTAAGTTTTTATCACTAGTTTTTGTCCAATTTCATCAAATATTTTGTCTTCATCTACTGATCATCATTTTTTTTCTGTGTTAATTTATTACTGCGATGAATGACACAGATTTTCTAATATTAAATTTGTCCACATTCCTGGCATAAAACTAACATGATCAGAGTGTGTTTACTTTTTTATGTCCTTTTGAGTTTGTTTGTTCGTTGTCCTGGTATTTATTTTTATCTGTTTTCAAGAAGTAGAAAACAGTTGTGCACTTCCCAGATCCTTTCACATTCCTTATACTGTGTAGACACCTCAGGGACTTCTGTACGTTTTTGCTTCCAATAACCAGAACTTGCTGCTCTTTCTCAGAAGACTGTCTGCAGGCTAATGGAACCCACTTTGCCCACAGGCTCAGAGAGGCAGAAGAGCCTGGAATTTTCATTTCCCTTTGATGACCCTTGACAGATGAGTGGGGTGGAAGTCTGAAAGCCCTAGCTGCTTCTCCTCAGGCTACGAATGTTCTGAGGCATACCTTAGAGTCCAGAGTTCCCCTGGGAACAGGCAGAAGCTGCCTTCTGAGGGACTTTGATCACACCCTTGCTTCTCCCCCTCCCTTCTATGTTCTACTTCCTCCATTCTCTTCCTGTTTCCACGGGGGGTACTTTCTTTATAAATCACCTGGACACAAATCCCTGACTTAGGTCTACTTCAGTAAACAACTTAATAAATGATATGGGCCTGTGACTTTTTTTCTTTTTCATACTGTTCTTGTCTGGTTTAGAAATCAAGGTTATAATGAGTTGGAGGGTGTTCCCTTTTTTATATATATTTTTTCTAATCACTGGTAGTTTGTATAAGATTAGATTGATCCGTTCTTTGAAAATTTAATATTACTTGCCTGTGATGAACCTAGGATATGAATATGTGGTGGGGGCAGAGTAAGGGGCAGAGGGAATCATATGTTGGATGTAGGGTTTTTGTCTCAGTCTCAGCTTTTGTTTTGGGTAGTTATCATTAAAAATGATGAATTAAAAGTGATTTAAATATGAACAAGTAATGATGGAAAAGGTAAAGATTATGATTAATCAAATTCTGAAGTCCACTAAGGAAATAAACAAACTATAATCTTTGTTATCTGAAATCAGTGTAGCCCTGAAGCATTCTTTTGGCTAAGAATTTCCTGGTACATCTTTCCAATCCATTTACCTTCAACCCCTCTACACCTGCCCTGCCTGCCTCCGTGAGGATCTCAGAAATAGCCCTGTAAAGCCTAGAATAAAAGTGCAGGAAATGCAATTTTTAGAGTCTCATTTTCAAACAAATTTCCCCTCATTTCCACACCTCTCTCCTTGTGACTGTCCTTCTGTGCATAGGTCCATGTCCTGGTATCTTTCAGTTTGTCTCAAATTTTTTCTTCCATGGAGAGTAAACAGATGTCTCATTCTGGGACCCAGAGGGAATAGAAGGGGGGTTAGGTAAGGAAGATTTTGGTCATGGTGTAGACCCTCAACGATTAATCTTCTGAAAGTCCCACAGGTGTGTGTGCGTGTGCAGGGTGCACATTTGCATGTTCACTCGTGAATAGACATCTCTCCCCTTCATAGACACCAGGAGGTAGGGCCTCTGGACCCTTCTCTGCCTGGAATGGATCCGGGGTCTGCCTCACTGGTCCTTGCGCCCAACTGCTCCCCCTTGCATGAGTCAAAGAAGCTGTAAGACTGATTCCACAGCGGCAGCTTCTCACTTTTGTGATCTCCATCTTCCAGGTGCCCTTCTCCAATTGCAGCCGAGACTGCCTGGCAGGGACCAGGAAAGGAATCATTGAGGGGGAGCCCACCTGCTGCTTTGAGTGTGTGGAGTGTCCTGATGGGGAGTACAGTGATGAGACAGGTAAAGGAACAGCTCTTTGTGGACACCATGTGGGACTTGGTCCACTTTGGGGCCCTGGGGTCATGAAGCCCCTGGAAGGGATAGGCTGAGATGGTGCTTAGCACCCTTTCTCATTTAACCAGGTATGTCTGAGCATCAGTGCTGGGCTGAGCCCTGAGGAGAGTAGAAAAGGAATGTTGGATGTCCTATAATACCATAAGAGCTTACAAACACACTTGTTACACATCTTTCTTTTACTTTGATACTGCTTTCCAATATTGTTTTTCTTTTCTTATAGCTCAGTGGCCCTGAATAGACAAACATGTCTGTTCCAGGCTCTAGGGTTAATAGGCCATGGTAGATTGCCTGCAGGGTGCCTGGCATTGTACTTGCTGTCTTACCCATGTTTTTCCTGTGCCTCAGCTTCTCCATGTCTAAAGTGTGAATTAGATGAGTTAATATTGGTAAAGCACATGGTAAGTTCTAGATAAATGTCTGTTCAATAAAAATTTTGATTGGCATGTTGGAAGCACTCTATAAATATTAACTCTAATCGTTACTATCTCATTTCATCCTCCCCACCGTAATGGGGTTATTATGGCTTCTAGTGCATACACAAGAAAACTGAGGCTCAGACAGATGAAGGAGCTTGACAAAGGTCATACAGCCAGTAAATGGCAGGGCCAGGATTCCCATCTAGATCTCTGACTGCAAAGCCCATGTTCCTGTTACTTTCCCAAACCCCATGCTGTGAGGGACACAGCAGAGAGTTAGTCAACGTTATGGACTGAACACGTCGGTTGCCTCCCTCATTGGAAGGAAAGTCATGGATGTGGAGTGAGGGTGTGTGAGATACTCTACCTTGATCTAAGAGGAAGTCTATGCTGGCTTGTCTACAAAGCCCATCCATATATCCGAAATGAGTCAGACTGAGCTTAAATCATTCTGTAAAAAGTCGATGGACTATGTCATACCTCTGGGTAGCCACTGTCCAGCAAGATTTGTCATTCTCTGCTATAAACCATCAGCGGATAGTATTTTAAAAAATATGTACACCCCCACCATGTAAAAAGGGGGAAAATAATAAAATCATCAGATACATAAAATTAACCAAGTATGTTTATGTTTAATAAGTCAGAATTCAATATACTATTTGATCATGTAAAAAATAAATCACACTTTTTTGTCAACAAACACAATGTAACTTGACCACATCCAGTAACCTGTGTACCTTCACTACCAAATTCACATTGACAAATTTTAGTCTATGCCACTTATTCACTACTCTTCGCCGGGACATTTTACAGATGCGAGCGCCTGTGACAAGTGCCCCGATGACTTCTGGTCCAATGAGAACCACACTTCCTGTATTGCCAAGGAGATCGAGTTTCTGTCATGGACCGAGCCCTTTGGGATTGCACTCACCCTCTTCGCTGTGCTCGGCATTTTCCTGACGGCCTTTGTGCTGGGTGTCTTCATCAAGTTCCGCAACACGCCCATTGTCAAGGCCACCAACCGAGAGCTCTCCTACCTCCTGCTGTTCTCCCTGCTCTGCTGTTTCTCCAGCTCCTTATTCTTCATCGGCGAGCCCCAGGACTGGACGTGTTGCTTGCGCCAGCCAGCCTTCGGCATCAGCTTCGTGCTCTGCATCTCCTGCATCCTGGTGAAAACCAACCGCGTCCTCCTGGTGTTTGAGGCCAAGATCCCCACCAGCTTCCACCGCAAGTGGTGGGGGCTCAACCTGCAGTTCCTGCTGGTCTTCCTCTGCACCTTCATGCAGATCGTCATCTGTGTGATCTGGCTCTACACCGCGCCCCCATCGAGCTACCGCAACCATGAGCTGGAGGATGAGATCATCTTCATCACTTGCCATGAGGGCTCACTCATGGCTCTAGGATTCCTCATCGGTTACACCTGCCTGCTGGCTGCCATCTGCTTCTTCTTCGCCTTCAAGTCCCGGAAGCTGCCAGAGAACTTTAACGAAGCCAAGTTCATCACCTTCAGCATGCTCATCTTCTTCATCGTCTGGATCTCCTTCATCCCAGCTTACGCCAGCACCTACGGCAAGTTCGTCTCCGCCGTGGAGGTGATCGCCATCCTGGCAGCTAGCTTTGGCTTGCTGGCCTGCATCTTCTTCAACAAGGTCTACATCATCCTCTTCAAGCCATCCCGTAACACCATTGAGGAGGTGCGCTGCAGCACCGCTGCTCACGCTTTCAAGGTGGCAGCCCGGGCCACGCTGCGCCGCAGCAACGTCTCCCGCAAGCGCTCTGGCAGCCTAGGGGGCTCCACGGGATCCACCCCATCCTCCTCCATCAGCAGCAAGAGCAACAGTGAAGATCCCTTCCCAGAGCCCGAGAGGCAGAAGCAGCAGCCACTGGCCTTGACCCAGCAAGAGCAACCGCCTCAGCCTCAGCCCGCCTTGAGCCTGCAGCAGCAGCAGCAACAGTCACAGCAGCAGCCCAGATGCAAGCAGGTCATCTTCGGCAGTGGCACGGTCACCTTCTCGCTGAGCTTTGACGAGCCTCAGAAGAGTGCCGCGAGTGCCACGGCTCACAGGAATTCCATGCACCGGAATTCCCTGGAGGCCCACAAAAGCAACGACACCCTGACCAAACGCCAGGCATTACTCCCACTGCAGTGCGGGGAGACAGACTCAGAACTGACCTCCCAGGAGACAGGCCTGCAAGGGACTGTTAGTGGGGACCACCAGCCAGAGATAGAAGACCCTGAAGAGATGTCCCCAGCGCATGTGGTGTCCAATTCACGGAGCTTTGTCATCAGCGGTGGAGGCAGCACTGTCACAGAAAACATACTACATTCCTAAGTGGAAGAAGGCCAGTCCAGGCAGGATCCAGAGAGGTGTCCTGGGATCACATTCTCCGACAGGGACAACAGGCTGCTCCTAGCTCCTTTCCTCTGAGGAAAGAGGAATAATAGACAAGCCAAACACCTCAGACTTACTGGCACTGTTTTAAATGACAGTAAATTGACCAATGTTCCCTTTAAAATTTAAAAAAAAGATAAACAGCAGAGCCATGCGCTCTTGTGGTAGGACTTGTTAGAGTGCTAAGATCACCGGAGTCTGATTGGCTATTCCATGTCTCTTCTTCTGTTCCCATCCTCTATTCTAACCCACCCAACAGCCCAGAGATGGAACCAGCCTTTAAGCTACTCACCTACCCCCTCCTTTTTTTTTTTCATATTGAAATGACTACCCTGAACACTGCACACACCCTGGCCCAGAGACAGGGTGCAGAGTGACTGGGCATATTCATGACCGCCCCTGGAGTTAAGGGTCTGAAAGACAGAATGTCAACAGCTCTGTCCAACACCTTGACAACAAGAAGAACTTTAAATGAACTTCAAAACCATAGGTGAAAGTGTCCCCTCCTATTTATGAAAACCACAAGATATTTGGACTTCTACTTGCTGCTGCTGTCACGGAAGGTTAGGGTCCGTCTTGTACCAATACATCTGGTTTTGTCCAGAATGTGATAGTGGTGCCATGTTTAGATTCCAGGGTGATACAGAAGCACCTCAAATTGCTGGGAAGAGACTGCGCGACTTCAATGAGCTGTATCTGTAATTAATATTGCTATATGTAGCTTTCTCCTTAAGAAAATGTTTTTGTTGTAATATTCCATGGACAATATAAACCAAAAAAAGTCATAGTTTGGTTTATAAAAGGCAGTATTATTGAGCTCCATTTTTCTTTCCCACCCCACCACCCTCACCCCATGAGCTAAGCCCTATGTGAGCCCTTTCAGGCCCCAGGGGTCCAGGATCTACACACCCCATCCTTGCTCCAAAGGAAACCTTGCTTCCAGAAACCAGATTTATCCTTGTCCCTGTGCAGAATAAGCTTTCAGTCACTGGTCCCCTACCAGTTTGGGGGTAAGATAGTGTGGTTCTAAGAGAGCTCTCACAGGCTAGTACCCTGGCACTGCATCCCCCAAATGTCTACCATGTTCCTTCCAGCAGCAGAAGTCTGCCCACTGGTAGTTAAAGGGTTTGAATGGCATGCTGCTGAGAATTTAGACTCTAGAGCCAGAGAGACTTGAATGCAAGCCCTGGGTTGACCAATTATAAGCTGGACGACCATAAGCAAGGAACCCTAACCTTGCTAAGCCCCAGCTTCTTTGTCTCTAAAATGGGGACAATAATTATTCTTCTCCTTCAGAATTCTTATGTGGATTAAATGAGATAATGTATGTAAAGTACTTTAGCATGGTGCCTAGCACATAGTGAGCACACAATAAATATTAGTTAATGTTACTACTGATATTATCATCATTTTTTCATTTATTTAAAATGCAACACAAAGCTTGTTTTAATGACATGCCCACTGATCACAACAACTTTCTCCATAATAAGCCCAAGAACTCGGGGCCCAGTGTTGCTCATGCTGAAGAAGAGGTCAGTCACTCACCTAGAGGGCTCCGCACTCTGCCTCTGTGGTGTCAGCAGATCTCCAACATCAAGGGAAGGCTGTCCCAGCTGGGCAAGTTTCTCTGATCCCTCTAAATGCTGCTCTTTAGCCAAGGCCAAATATAGCAATGTTATCTGTGTGAAGCCTCAATCTTTATAATCCCTAATAACTTCTTCCTCTGACCTTTTTCTTCCAAAAGGCTACCTTTCCATGACTTTAAAGTAACCTAAATTATGATCATTGTGTTATGATCATTGTTAATTTGGATAAAAAGACAATGGAGGGCACTATGTGGGAGCAGGTCCGAGACTAAGAGAAGATTTCACACAGGAAGCCCCTGGTGAGGCATCTGCTCCCTGAGCCAGGCCAAGCCTGCTGCTCTCCCCGGGGCACACCTCTGAGCAAGCCCCAGAGCTGAGTGAAGGTTTATATTTAACATTTGAGTCTTTTTCTAAAAAAGCAGAA